AATCAATTTGGTGAGAATAATTTAGCAACAAACACTTAAATGACCAGGAGGTTGTGCTTAACTATACCAACCCGTTCTACATTTAAATTATCTTCAAGCTCTATTATTTTCACATTCACCAAGCAAATTTAATAGAAACAAAATTTGTATAGATAATACAAACTTTGAAGCTGAAGTTACCTGTTTGGTGCCTTCAACAGAAGAAGGACGACCCCATCTCTCAGGGTCCCAAAGTATGGAACTATTGAAAGCGAAACTTGATATATGAATCGGAGGCTTTGTCTCTGTCTCATTATTAATTTTCCTCAAATGCCACCCCAATACTTGTGAAGATTCACAAACCGGCCCCTCTACTATCACTCGTTTCCTATTAGCCGATAGCAATGCCATTGGCCAAGTACCGAATACCCTGCACAAGAAGAAAACATTTATAAAAAAAAAACTTTATAACTTGATGGTTAAAGAAAATGTTGTTTTATTTACGTACTCGATATCTCTGATCTTGTCGAAAAAATCAAGATCATATATGTTGTTTAGTCCCGCGAAATGAACTATCCCGCTTAATTTGTGATGTTCAATGTGTCTTAACGCCAGATTCCTTTGATGATCAAGCTCTGATTCCAAGCTTGTGAAATCCTCCTTGAAGACTATACGTCTATACATGATACCGGTCTTTCTTAACATTGTAGATGAAGATTTTTCTTCAGCATCTGAGTGTTTCTCCACGACTATCCACAGTAATGGAGGCGGAACTAGCCTCAATGTATTGGCCATTCTCCTAAGAAGAACGTTTTTGTAGCGATCTTTCGTTATTATTGGAGTAACAACAATCACTAGTCCTCTTGGTGTCACTTTAACTTGGTTCTCATCTTCTGTCTCGGAGAGAGATCTGGTTTCTGCTTCGGCTTCTCGCCACTCTGCGGGAGCTGGGGCTTGGCCTTGGGAATTGGTCAAGGTTCTATTGAGGAGGGAATGAGATGTGTAGGTAGAGTTTTCAAAAGGTTGAGCAGAAATCTGAGATTTTGTAGAAGTATAGGGGGTGGTTTCGGAATTAGAGAAAAATGAGGCCTTACCAGCAGGAGCAAAGCCAGTGAAGAAACCCATTACAAAACAAAGAGAAAATTGGATCACAGCTTTCTTCCATACTTGAGCTTTCTTCTTTGATCTCTCTAGAGATCCCATAACCTTCTGTTTAAGGAAGAAGGTTGCTTGAGTGAGTTCTTTTTTTATTTTTGGGAAAAACAATGTGTGAAGTTAGTGATATATAAGAACTTGATGAGAATTTTGTAGTTATTGTTTGTAATTTTGGTGTGTGATTGAAACCGGTGAGCTAAGGTAAGATTATTTTGATGGTTGATGATTGCTTGCGTTGGTGGTCTTTTGCAACAACCAGTTGTTGGGATTGGAACACATTAACTAAAACATATTTGGGTAATTAAAGAATCATTGCTAATAACAAATATATAAAAATAATCGTTGCTTACTAATGAATCTTAATGCCACCATAGATTCATTTTGGCGGTGGATGTATGAAGCAGTAAGCCAGATTGGAACAGTAAAATATATTTCATGATTTATTATTTTGCCGCGGTAGTTTATCTACTACCTTGTAAAAATACCTATTTTCTTAACTCTTGAGATTACCTAATGTGAAGAATAGTCTTGAAAAGGAAAAGTGTTTAAAAAAATTAATAAGAAATTATGCAACGTTATATCATTTAACTTTTTTGGTCTCAAAAGTAAAAATATAAATCGATGTTTAGATATAGTATAGATAGATTAATTGAGCTATTAATATTAATGGATAGAAACTCTAAATAAATTTACGGAATCTCCACTAATTAAACACTTGAAAATTAGTACGCTTTCCTATCGAAAAGGAGGTTTTGTAAGGATCTTAGTATAAAATTAGTACGCAACCCCAATGGGAGACTGCGGTTGCGGAAGTTTGCGGAAGCGGGCGGTTGCGGCTTTAAGCGTTATCAAGCGTTTTGAACGATTGGTTTAGCGTTTGAAAATAGGAGCGTTTGCGGGAGTTTTATGACTGGTAAACCAGCGGGTGCGATAACAGTTAAATAAAAGAATGACCAAAATAAATAAAAAATATTACAAAAAAAAAAACACCAATATATTATTATGATAATATTAGAAAAATTTGAACATGCTTAATAATTAAAACCATAAATAAAGTACTAAATAATTATACAAAAATAAAGAAATTTTGTAACAAGATAGTACTTTCTGCATCTGGTTTAACATAAAAATTTGCATTAAGTAATGGGAAAAACTTTAAATAACGTTGAATTCAATAAAAAAGAAAGTGAGTTTCTATTCGAGAAAACAAATCGAAACATATATTCAATCAAAAAGCAAAGCAATACGTAATGAAAATAAAAAAAACGATGCCATGAAAAATATTCAAGTTACACATGAGGTGATGAAAGAATAAAAGGATATATGATACTTACATTTGGTTATTGATTTTCATCAGTTTGGGTGGAAGACATTGAGAGAATAGAGTTTTAGAATATTATTAGGGTTTCTGATGAGAACGTGATACAAAGATGAAAGATATATATAGGATTAATATATATTATAATAATTATAAGTAAATGTTTGACTTTTTTTTTTTTTTTCTTTTTTAATCCAACCGCTACCGCCCGCAACCGCAAACGCTTGCGGGAAAGAGCTTTTGAAATTCAGCGATTTCGAGCGGTTCGAAGCGGGACGGAGCAGTTTCTATGATTGGTTCCAACCGCTAACAACCGCAACCGACCGCTAGCAACCGCTAGGAGGGTGCTAGCGGGAGAACCAATCAAGCCCTTAGTATAAAATTAGTACGCAACCCCAATGGGAGACTCTTCATAGATTTTTTAGTATAAAAATATTGAAAAAAATAGAAAAGTAGGTGAGAAAAATAAAAAACTCTAGACATAATTTCTTATTTAAGGATTTTCAGAATCTCATAAGAGACATTTGAAGGTACTTGTCTTTCTATGAGTGGTTTATCTTATTTTCAAAACTAAAATTTAATTCAATAATTTATTTCTATAAAAATATTAATATTTTAGTTTTTAAAAACTCAAATTAGATCTATTACCATTGGGGTTGCTCTTAGAACATCTCTATTGGAGAGATGTTTCACAGTTTCTCATAATTAAAATAATGAAAGAAATAGAAAAAGGAGTGAGAGAGAGAAACTCTGAGATACCTTGACAATTTTATTTTGCCAGATGTATTAATTATTTAATTCTATTAGTCTAATTTAATTAATTATTTTATACTTATTTAAATAATAAAATCATAACTAAAATAATATATTTTATTCATCAGATACACTTTTTTAGAACTTTACAGATGAGAATGCTCTTAAAATCAAGAATAAAGTTACTATTCTTAAACTTAGATCTGATTGTTATTCTTCAAAGCTGGATCCATTTCGATTCGATTGCTTGGAGCCTTGGACTAGAGATATATATAGAAAAAAAGATACTTAGCTACACGAAGTATGCTACAATACATGGCCACACATCCGAAGTTTAAAAATGTATCCCTAACTACACAAACTATATGTATCGCATGCCCACATATACGAACTATATGTAGTCATGTCGCCAACATCACGAACATTTTTTTCCGGTACACTTTTCGCCGGAATCCGGCATTGACCAGTTTGACCGGCGTTGACCAAAATAAATATTCAAAAAAAAAAAAAAATTAGTTTTTAGAAATTTTTTGTAAAATTATTTAATTTTTATTTACAATATTATAAAAATTTTATAATTAAAAATTTATTTATAATATTATGTTATTATGATTTATTTAAATTTTTGTAAATTTTTTTTGTAAATTTATTTAAAATTTTTTTGTGAAAATTATGTTATTGAATCATTTATAATAATATATAATTAAAAATATATATACAATATTCAATATAAAAATATTTTGTATATATATTCAATGCATTGATTTTTATAATTAGTTAGTTTCAATAATTTCAAAACTAAACTAAAAATAAAATAAAACCCAATTAGGTGACATAATTATAAAAATCAATGCATTGAATATAGGTATATACACAATATTTTTATATTGAATATTGAATATATATTTTTAATTATAGATTATTATAAATGATTCAATAACATAATTTTCAAAAAAAGTTTTAAATAAAATTACAAAAAAATTTTACAAAAAATTAAATAAATCATAATAACATAATATTATAAATAAATTTTTAATTATAAAACTTTTATATAATATTGTAAATAAAAATTAAATAATTTTACAAAAAATTTCTAAAAACTATTATTATTTTTTTTTTGAATATTTATTTTGGTCAACGCCGGTCAAACTGGTCAATGCCGGATTCCGGCGAAAAGTGTACCGGAAAAAAATGTTCGTGATGTTGGCGACATGACTACATATAGTTCGTATATGTGGGCATGCGATACATATAGTTTGTGTAGTTAGGGATACATTTTTAAACTTCGGATGTGTCGCCATATATTGTCGCATACTTCGTGTAGCTAGGTATTTTTTTCCAATATATATATGTTTCTAAATCCTTTGGAACAACAATTTGTGGGCAGTCAAATGGAGCTCTAGCTTTCTGTGGGTTTTTAGAAAATTATTTAAAGCTTTGAGACTAAAGTTTTCAACCTACTTTGGTTTAAACCTGGCAATGGATCACATTGCTCGATGCTATATGATTCACGGTCATATTTTGGCTTTCTTGATTGGTGATCAAGGTCTCTAACGAAACTTCATTTGTATTTCAAACATCTCATATAGCTAGTCTACTTACTTTAACCTAGAGCTATAGGCTTTTCTTAAATGTAGTTTGCTTGTTTGATTTTTATTTTATCAAACATGTGTCTCTCCGCAATAGGCTTTCGCTCCAACTCAAAATCAATTGTCAATGAATGTACGTATTAGCGCATGTAATTCATATTATGAAATTATTGCTAGCAAAAGCTTTTCGATGTAATGAAACAACAACTAAAAAATTGGGGAAAAAAAATCAACATATTATAGATAACTGAGTAAATAGGCTGTAAGCAGACAACGAAGACATCCATAAGGAGATTTAAGCTTGATTTTGTCGATAGTCTTCTAGTTTCTAATAATTACCAAGATACTTAAAGAAGCACTAGTTAGACCAAAACCATTTACAGCCAATAATTTGTTGTTTCAAAAAAAAAAAAAAAAAAAACAGAACTGAATGAGATATCAACATGTGAATATGTGATATGCAAATTAGTTGGTCCCAAAGTTATTGCCGTATCAGATACGAAGGCGAAACTCAGATTTTAGCAGAAGCAATCTAGATTCATGACTACATGTACTCTTTGTTTTGCGTGTCCAAGTTTTGTATGGTTTCATCGTTAAATCTGAAGAAAGCTAGCTATACTATTATGTTTTAGTAAAATATACATACAAATCTCAAGTTTCTTCGCATTTTTATCAATCTTATATGCTGTGCATTGTGCAATGTTCTATACAATGACCATGTATATTGTATAAAATTCTTGATGTTATAACTACTTCAATGTATTAATTCTTTTATTAACTTCGAAGACTTTTAGATCATGTTGATATAAACTTTATAGCTTCAAATAAAAAGTAAGATGTCCCAAAAAGTGAATCTACCGGTACGAGATCTCAACAAACAACTAGAGAGCATACAGACAAAAAGTACAAAATATTAAATTTTTCTTGTAAAAAGGATTAGTTAGCTAAGTAGAGCCACCGATTTCCTCTTATAGAAAAGATCACAGCCGTCTATTTTTCTGAACCCAACGTGTGAACATAACAAAAACATTAAAAATATAAAACCGCAGTGTTCGATCTAAATCATATAGAGAGGGACCAGAGGGACCAGAGGAACCAAAAAAAGAGTGGGAGTTTCAGTACCAAAAAATCCTTAAACAAAAAGAGATGAGGTTTTCTTCATCAAGACCCGTTTCGAGTCCGGGTCGAACCGAAAACCCGCCTCTACTCATGCGGTTCTTGCGGACCAAAAGCAGAAGCAGAACCCGTTCTCGTTCAAGAAGACCTATCTTCTTCCGTCGGAAAAACGCTGCGGCTGCGGCGGAGACACAACAAGAACCAACTTCACCTAAAGTAACTTGCATGGGTCAAGTAAGGATAAACCGATCAAAGAAACCCAAACCCGGAAGTGCTCGAGTCTCCGGAGGTGCAACGGAAAGCCGTCGCCGGAGTCGTCGGTGCGGGTGGGTGTGGGTCAAGAACGCTTTTTCCTGTCAGTCTTTCACCGGAAAAATCAAACCGACATGTTTTAGCCCTGTGTGGCGTAAATGGAAATCATTTTCTCATGCTAGTTTCTCGAGAAAATCAGAGAAGAGATCAAGCTCGTCTAGAAGTGAACCTATCTTTGGCCGCTCCACAGTGGAGCCAGAGGAACCAGAAGAGACTCGAAAAGAAGAAAACCAAGAAGAAGAAGAAGAAGAAGAAGAAGAAGCAAGTTCATGTAAATCTTTCACAGCTACACCACCGAGAAACGCTTTTTTACTAACTCGATGCAGATCTGCACCGTATAGATCTCCTTCATTAGCTAATAGTTTCTTTGAAGATCAAGAAGAGCTGAAGGAAGCTCCTTTCCGACGACACGCTTCGTCGGAAAATGTATCAGTTTCGGAAGAACCGAAGACGAGCGTTACAGAAACAACAGCAGCGGCGAGTGAAGAACCAAAACGGAGCGTTTTGGGATCACCACGACAGTGTCTGGTACTCACGCGCTGTAACTCGGAGCCAGCGAGAATCGGAGAGAAACTCGTCCCCGATATGGGTTATCGACAGAACCCAAGGTTGGGATTTACGTGATGGGTTTACATTTTCTTTTAAAAAAATTTGTTTGTATTTTTTCGAGAAATTTACATTGAAACGAATTCTATATTCTTTGTTGAGTTTACTTCGGGAAGTTTCTCTGAAATTTAGAGCTTTAAAACCTTTCTTTATCGTAGAGAATCTTGTGGTTCCCTGACCTGTAATGTTTTTCAATTGTCCTATCTATGACATTGTAACTAAACAAACAATTTTGTTCGTACACTTACACGCTCAAAATAAAATAAAAAAAAGTCTTTGATATAGTTTAATTTCTTTGTTATGCTAACGTATTTGTGTTTTTAGAATCCTAGATCTCTAAAGCAGATATATTTTCCCAATATACAAAAAAATGGTTTACCCATAAATTAATGAGTTATCAAAACTACAAAATATTGTGCAATCACAAAAATGTTACTCTTAATTTGATTGGATCGTTATTTTTACCGTTTTCAACCAATTCGGTATTGCTTACCACTTTATTTACCCACTATAATACTCGTACCAGTTTGTATTCAAAGTTTCAAACCCTTTATTTTTATGATCCCATTTATTAGCTCACAATAATAAATCCTCATGGGCCTTTAGGCCCAGATCTTAATGAGCTCAATATTTCCTAATTAATTAATTGTTAAGTAAATGAGGACGAAGGTGTCTTTGACTATTTTAACGCGTACGGGTCGGGTCAATAAATTGGTTAAAGTCTCTCTCTTTCTTCTTCTCTACCTCTTCTTCTACATTCTTCCTTTAGATCAAAGAGAGAGAGAGAGATCGTCTTGTCCAGATTGATCTTGCGTTAATTTCTAAACACAATATGGCGGCAGAAGATAGCCGTGAAGCTCAACGAGGCGACGAACATGAGGAATCGAGTCCTCTCTTGCAGGGGAAAGAGAACGACGGCAAGATCTGCTCGAAAGGAGATGCCAAGGCGGCGTCGCTTGTGCCTCCTCCTGCGGCGGAGGAATACGGTTGGACGGCGGATGGATTGCCTGTGAGCCAGGGGAGCGTGATTGGCGAGCCGATCAGGAGAAACCAGTGGAATTCGGGTCTCTTTACCTGTTTAGGCCGCAATGATGAATTTTGCAGCAGCGATCTCGAAGTTTGTGAGTATTTCGTTGAATTTGTATAAATTTGTTTTGAAATTTGGGTTCTCTTTGAATGGGTTTGTTGATTTATCCGAAATTGATCCGATAAACTTGGTTGGGTTGTTAAAAATTGAATCTTTGGATCTTATTAAGTTCAGAGATACATTGGGTTAAAGATGAGATATGATTCGGATTTAGAAATGTTTGTTATGTGTTTGATGAGATGATGGCTTATTCTGTGTAGGTCTTCTTGGAAGTGTGGCTCCATGTGTGTTATATGGAACTAATGCAGAGAGACTTGGGTCTGCTCCGGGAACATTTTCAAACCATTGCTTGACGTATTTGGGATTGTACTTTGTTGGTAATTCTTTGTTTGGCTGGAACTGCCTTGCTCCATGGTTCTCTTATTCTAGCCGTTCTGCTATTCGCCGAAAGTTTAACCTTGAGGTAATGATTTATGTTTCTGAGTTTGGGAGAAAAAAGTTACCCTCTAAGGAGAGATTGATCAACACTTGTCTTTATCTCTCTTTTTGATTGCTTGGATGCTGATAAGTGGGTACTTAACCCCAAGAGATTGTAGTTTGGTTCCACCCTACTCGCTAGTGTTTAGGACCCATTGAAGGGCATGCCTGGTCTCGTAGGCCATCAAGTGGCTGTCCATTACGATAAATGTCTCCCCATTTTTCATTCCATAGTTTGCATCAAGGACAAATTCCATTTCCTGAACCTATTTTTCATTTTCTTTTGGGTTAAACCAGGGAAGCTTTGAGGCTATGAACAGATCGTGTGGTTGCTGCGGTAGCTGCATAGAGGACGAGATGCAAAGGGAACACTTGGAGACAACTTGTGACTTTGTGACACATGTCCTTTGCCATACATGTGCCCTTTGCCAAGAAGGACGTGAGCTCCGCAGGAAGGTTCTTCACCCGGGTTTCAATGCTCAGTCCACCGTGGTCGTGATGCCACCTAGAGAGCAAACCATGGGTCGTAAATGAAGCTTGCTTTGAGTCGAGTGGTCTAAGTAGCACTTGTGTTATTGTATACACGTTGGTGAAACAAGTGTCGTGTGTGGAACTTGAACCTTTATATTGTCTTTTGCTTAACTTTTTTTTGGAATAAAACCTTCTATGGATGTAATTTGTCTTGTGTGTTACTTATTTCTCGAAAACAAACATGTATATCTTTGTTGTTACCCACTTGTTTTGATATGATCTGAAATGTTAAATTGTTTCACAATTCGTAAGGTCTAGCATTGATCGGCATAACGAAAACCTGAATGGTTAACATAACATAGTTTCGAGCAAAAACTTTGGATCGAGAAAGCCGAAAAATATATGGACAAATAAAGTTAAAGTGAACATGATAGACTCTACAACTGCAACCAAATATGTGAAGCGAAAACAAAAGTTGAAGAGATTCAAATTTTGAGGTCTAACCAAAACAGAACAAGGGTGTCCTTTCTACTCTCCATACAAAAGTCTCCTTGACATTGTCATTACAAGAAAAAAGAAAACTGGTACCGACACAGTTGAAGAAGTGAGGGAAAGAAGCTGAAATCTATTCGCCGGGCACGGGGACTCCCTGCTTCAGCTTCTCACGCTTGAGCTTCTTTTTGGAAAGAGGCTTCTTCTTCTTTGGGGGTAGATTCTTCTGAGCATACATGTACAACACGTAATTGGCTATCAAGAATGTCACAAGCAGGCCTCCAACAACAAGCAACACTATCAACCCCGGGTTCAATCCTTTAGCTTCAACAGCCGCCTGTAAATTCACAATAATGTGTGCAAAAATTCATACCAAAGTGAAATTTTTGATACCAAAATTGTGATTCCAAGGGCAAAGCTTTTATTTTCTTGAGCAATTAACAATGTCATCTTTCTACGAAATTCAGGGAAACCAAACCAGCAATTGATACACATTAGCATGTACAAATGTGAAATCTATCACAGCGAATTGGGCACTGTTTTTTTTTTCTGAATTCCCAAGCAAATCTTAACACTTTTGACACTAATTCTTGAATACAATCGAAATCCTCTGTAAATTCCAGATCATGTTCAAAATAAACAATGCATGCGAGAGGATCATCAAGATCAAGACAACACAACAAAGCAACAGTGAAACTGATAATCTTCTTCAGTAAAATTTGATCTAACAGATCCAACGATAATAAACCGAGATTTGGACCTTAAAAACCAATTATGGATCAAGGAAGAGAGGAGCGTGATTGGTAAGGTAAACACAGCTCGATTTCATCGAAAACTACAAATGCGGAGACGTACCTTTCCGGCGGAACCTTCACTGCTCATGGATAAGATCCGGAAATCTGAGAGATCCGATGCCGGCAAAGAAACGAGTCGGAGATTCTATAAGAAGCTGAGTGAGATCTGTGTTTCCGACGAGAGATTCAGACAAAAGACAAAAAAAAGACATGTACATGGACAAGTAAATAAATTATTAATTCATTTGCATCCCAAGTAAATAGAGAATCCCAATAAATAACATTTACTTTATATATTACAATCAGGGACTCAATTGACTTCAAAATTTCTTTACCACATACAGTTTAAAAGGAAATTTTTTATCTTCACATACCACATGGTGATTGAATTACATAAAACTCAAATCTGCTATAACGTACATATATATTCCACAAATTTAACAGAGGATCAGGTGGGAGTGTGGTGAAAGGCAATCAGCTTGAAGTTTCTCATTAGTTAAGGCTAAGGGATTAGTGGAGGTGTTGGCAGTAATTATTAGATATATACAGTATACCACATTACCGGTTTCCTTTATCCGGTTATGTTAGATTAATTATACGGTTTAGTCTCATTATGATTTGTATATAATCTCACTTTGTACAACATTCTTTAATTAATGAGAAAGCCTTTATTTAGTTTGTCTTTCTAATATGGTATCAGAGCAATTCCGCGTAACAAACTTTTTTCGGTGAACGTAACAAACTCTCCGGTGGCTTTTTCCGATCGATTTCTTCATCGATTGTTCTCATTCTTCTTCTCTTCTCTCTTCTCTCTTGGTTTCTTAGCTTCGTCTTTTTTCTAATGGCGAAGAAAGGTGTCAAAACCAGAAATCGAGCTTCTTCTCCGGATCCAGACACTCCGATTGCTTCCCGATCAGCTCCTTCTCCACATCGCGATGAAATTCGAGCTATTCCGGTCAATCAGCAAAGTTCTGGAACTTACATGGCTCGTGATTCAGCTGTGAAGATTTCTTCAGGATCTGAATCCTTCGACAGCTCTCACAGTTCATTCTATCTTCATGCTTCGGATCATCTAGGTTTAACTCTCGTTACTCATAAACTAGATGGATCCAATTACAACAGTTGGTGTGTTGCGATGACTATAGCTTTGGAATCTAAGAACAAGTGGAGTTTTATAGACGGATCTCTCCCTAGACCTGATGAATCTGAATCGATTTACAAACTCTGGAATCGTTGCAACAGTATGGTTAAATCTTGGCTTCTTAATGTGGTTAACCAAGAAATCTATGACAGTATTCTCTACTTCAACGATGCTGCGGAAATCTGGACTGATTTGTTGAAGCGTTTTCACATCAGTAATTTACCTCGCAAGTATCAATTGGAACAGGATATTCTCACATTACGTCAAGGTTCAATGGATTTATCCACCTATTATACCAAGATGAAGACTCTGTGGCAACGCTTAGCAAGTACTAAATCTCAGAAAATCTGCAAATGCAACTGTGGAAAAGTTGAAGAGTTACTGGAAGATGCAGAAACAAGCCGTATCATACAATTTCTCATGGGTTTGAATGACTCTTATGCCAACATTCGAGGTCAAATCATCAACAAGAAGAATAGACCAAGTTTGAGTGAGATATACAACATGTTGGATCAAGATCAGAGTCAGAGAACTGTGGGATCTTCTACAAAAGGCTATGTTGCACCTTCTGCATTTCAAGTTGCAGTTAATGATTCTTCTATGGTCACAGATGGAAGTATTAATGCCATGAATCATCAACAGAGACCTCGACATGTATGCACTTATTGTGGAGCTGTAGGACACCTTAAGGATCGCTGTTATAAATTTAATGGCTATCCACCAGGCTGGACAGGAAAGAAGAAATTCACTCCACCTAATGCTTCTGCTCCTGCTTCTGGTTCTACACCTACTACTGTTTTACAGAAGTTGAATCCATCTACAACTCCTAGTGCAAACATGACTTCTCTACATGGCATTACTAATTCAAATCTCAAAGGTTCAGAGAATTTGGGGGAGAACCTTACAACAGATCAAATCCAAGAGATCATTTCCTACTTTAGTTCAAAGATTCACACCTCTAGTATCACACCTACACTTGCAGTTTCTCAAGCTTCTACTTCAACTTCCGTACCAAGTATTTCACAGATATCTGGTACATTTCTGACACTTTATCCAAATACTTATTATGACATGCTTACTTCAAAAAACTCTGAAACTGATATCTCTCCAAGTTCATGGGTAATAGATTCTGGGGCTACTCATCATGTGTCTAATTCTAGGACTATGTTTCTAGTTTTCCAGGATCTAGTTAATACCTATGTGAATTTGCCAAATGGAACTACTGTGAGTATTGTCGGAATAGGATCTATTCAATTGTCTGAAAACATTCTTTTGCATGATGTTTTGTTTATTCCTATTTTCCGATTTAATCTCTTGAGTGTTAGCATGTTAACTAAGCATTTGAATTCTATAGTCAGTTTTACTGCAACTTCCTGTTTCATTCAGGATCTTACTCGGGAATTGATGCTTGGAAAGGGTAGTCAAGTCTCAAATCTTTATATTCTGGAGTCTAGTCAACAACATTCTACTTTTGAAGTTTCAGGTAGTCTTATTCCTACTTGTTCTGCTGTTTCAGTAGATTCTCATATATGGCATACTCGTTTAGGGCATCCATCTCAATCTAGAATTGATGTGCTCACTGATGTACTGTCTTTAACAAAACCTATAAATAAGAATAAGATTCATCATTGCTCAGTTTGTCCTTTAGCAAAACAAAAACATTTACCTTTTAATGCAAATCAAAACATATGTTCTTCTTCATTTGATCTTTTGCATATAGACACATGGGGTCCTTTTTCAAAAGAAACTCATGATGGATATAAATACTTTTTAACTATAGTGGATGATCATAGTAGAGCAACTTGGATATATCTTTTAAAAGCAAAGTCTGATGTCTTGTTTGTTTTTCCTGATTTCTTGAAAATGATTGAAACTCAATATGCTACTAAAGTAAAATCTGTTAGATCCGACAATGCTCCTGAACTAAAATTCATAGATCTTTATCTAGAAAAGGGCATAGTTGCTTACCATTCCTGTCCAGAAACTCCTCAACAGAATTCTGTAGTAGAAAGGAAACACCAACACATCTTAAATGTTGCTAGAGCCTTAATGTTTCAATCTCAGGTTCCTTTAGAGTATTGGGGGGGATTGTATACTTACATCAGTATTTCTTATTAATAGATTACCTACCCCAGTCTTATCCAATGCTACTCCTTATGAGATTCTCACTAGTCAAAAGCCTGATTACAGCCAACTTAGAGCTTTTGGTTGCTTATGTTATGTGTCCACCTCTCCTAAGCAAAGGCATAAGTTTCAACCTAGAGCCAAAGCATGTGTCTTCTTAGGGTATCCATCAGGTTTCAACAGTTACAAGGTATTGGACTTGGAGAGCAATGTCATTTCTATTTCCAGGCATGTTATTTTTCATGAGGAAATTTTCCCGTTTCTATCTTCTACATTGACAGAAGATACACGGACCTTCTTTCCTCATATTTCTTCCCCTGCACACCCCGATGAATCTTTGCCTTCTGCACATTCATCTTCTGATGCACCTCCACATTCTGATGTGTCATCTTCTGAGAATCCTTTGCCTTTGGCACTAGATTCTCGCAGACCTACCAAACTCCCAGCACATTTGCAGGACTACTATATGAATAATACTTCTTTCACTACTCCTTATCCTATATCTAACTTTCTCTCTTATAATAAACTAAGCGTTTCTTTCTGCTCTTTCATTCAAAATATTACTCTTACTACTGAACCCCGTACTTATTCTGAGGCTAAGAAAATGCAAGAGTGGTGTGATGCCATTGGTGCGGAGCTTGGGGCTATGGAAAGAACTGGTACTTGGTTGATTTGTCCATTACCATCAGGTAAGAAGGCTATTGGTTGCAAATATGTCTTCAAAATCAAACATAATTCTGATGGTACTGTGGAGAGATACAAAGCTAGATTGGTAGCTAAAGGATATACACAGGAGGCAGGACTTGATTTCAAAGACACTTTTTCCCCAGTTGCGAAGCTTACCACTGTGAAGATCTTGTTAGGTATTGCTGCAAAACTTAACTGGTTTCTTACTCAGTTAGATGTGTCAAATGCATTTTTAAATGGGGATTTAGATGAGGAGATCTACATGGAGTTGCCTCCTGGTTATGAAGTTCCTGCAAGTTTGCAAACTGAAGATAAGATGGTCTGTCATTTACAGAAATCCATTTATGGCCTAAAGCAGGCGTCTAGGCAATGGTTTCTGAAATTTTCATCCACTGTTATTGCTTTGGGTTTTCAGACAACACACAGTGATCACACTCTTTTTACCAGATTCATTGATGGTGTTTTCATTGTCATTCTGGTGTACGTTGATGATATAATCATTGCAAGCAATAGTGGAGATGTTGTTCCTATACTGGTATCTCAGCTTGAAGCTGCTTTTCAACTCAGAAATATTGGTGAACCACAATATTTTCTTGGCCTGGAGATTGCTAGATCTTCTGCAGGAATCTCTATTTGTCAAAGGAAATATGTGTTAGAATTACTTTCAGATACATGATTTCTTGGAAGCAAGCCGTCTTCAATACCAATGGAGCCTAATCATTCTCTACACAAAGAAGATACTCCATTGCTACCTGATGCAGAAATTTATAGGAGACTCATTGGAAAATTGTTATACCTTTGCACTACCAGACCTGATATAACCTTTGCAGTAGGTAAACTTTGCCAATTCGCCTCTGCTCCTAGACAAGTTCACTTGTTGGCTGCTCACAAAGTTCTCAGATATCTGAAAGGCACTATTGGGAAGGGTTTGTTTTATTCAACAGATCCTGATTTAACTCTTAAAGGTTTCACTGATTCTGATTGGAACACTGATCCTGATTCAAGAAGATCAGTTTCTGGTTATTGCATTTTTATTGGTGATGCTCTTGTTTCTTGGAAGTCTAAAAAGCAACGGGTCTGTTCTCAAAGCTCTGCAGAAGCAGAATACAGGGCCATGTCTTATGGTACTAAGGAACTCGTTTGGATAGCCAAGATTATGAAGGATTTACTTATTCCTTCTCCTATTACTGCTTTGCTTTATTGTGACAACACAACAGCTCTTCACATCGCAAAGAATGCAGTCTTCCATGAGCGCACCAAACATGTGGAAAATGACTGTCACTTAGTCAGAGAAAAGGTGCAATCTGGTTTCTTGAAGACGATGCACGTTCACACTGAACATCAACTGGCAGATCCTCTTACTAAACCTCTGTACCCTACTCAGTTCTCCTATTTGATATCCAAGATGGGCTCCTAAACCTTTATGAGGCTCCATCTTGAGGAGGGCTATTAGATATATACAGTATACCACATTACCGGTTTCCTTTATCCGGTTATGTTAGATTAATTATACGGTTTAGTCTCATTATGATTTGTATATAATCTCACTTTGTACAACATTCATTAATTAATGAGAAAGCCTTTATTTAGTTTGTCTTTCTAATAGTAATCTCATGATTTCATTTGAAATAATGTATTGGGACTTTTGGTTAGGTTTTTATGATTTTAGAGCATATATGTGTGACTATACGTTCTATAGATTATACAGGTAAGTTTATTACACTAATCGTATGGTAATAGTTGCATCAGATCCATGGTAATAATTTAACTAAACTAGTAATTACTTTGACTCCGTGAGTTTAGTTTGCATGTGATTTAACTTCTCTTTATCCTAGAGGTCAAGATCTATCTCGTTGTATACATGAATTTGAACATCTGAAATCAAATAGTAAACATGAATTTATAATAGAGGTCAAGATCTATCTCTTTGTAATCATAAACGCTAATATTTGCCACTTTCTTATACAAATAATCAGGTCTAATAATTGGACACTAGACGAGACTGGCCAAATTATTCGTCGATAATTAATATATTTTTTTATTAAAATCCTTTATAATAATGTAAATGATTGTAAAAAGAGTCAATGTAGACACATGGAGAAGTACCCAACTCGTTTGGCATCTCACAACTAAACAAAACACGATCAATCGGTCATGATTTGGCTTGGAGTCAACAAGTACTTGATAAACATAAACTAAAAATAGCTTGACAGTAGTGTAGACCAAAAAAAGTGATATTTTTTGTATTTATGATAGTTTGATGATCTAGTTTTAGAATGAATTATAAACTAATCGTTGTACATTATGTTTGGTACTACTAGAACTAAAATTAGAATAAGTCCGGATCGGTAGTTGTTTCAATCACTCACGAACATATACCCACAAATAGCAAAATATAAGAGTCCCATCGAAACCTTGGGGGGTGATCCAAACATAACTCAAGCCACAACGGTTTTGGTATTTCTTCTTATTGAATCCAAAACATATACATACATACATTCATAGTTTCATACGTATATGATTATTATCTTGACAACATAATAATTTATAACCAATATTAGTTCACATAACGGCAATCCTTCCTGATCTCCCCTTGGTCTCCAGTGAGTGGGTTGGTCTCGGACAAGAGCCTGACGCCACGTGAGAACTGCTCCTGGAAGTAACCATTGTCCGTAGCCATCTTGGCCACAAACGGTGCGGTCCTTGGATCGGTGGCTAGCTCATCATCAATGACAAGAAGCCCCTTATGTGCCATGATATTCTTGTAATACATGTTGTCCACAACCATCGGAGTCTCACGATCGTTGCGGGAGTACAAGACGGCGTTCGGGTCCGGTGTTGGACTTGGGCAACGTTTTTTTAAGTAAAGGGCGTAACTTGGGTCGAGGGTCGGGTCAATCGTTGGGTATAGCCGGTGCACTAGGTTAACGCAGTGGACCCTACCCACTGAGTGAGCACCTACAGTAGTATATATTGACTGATCAATTACAAATATCATTCTTATTAAGAAAATAGAATTTATTTCTCTAAGAAAATTTCTATGTTATAGTTTTTATACTTCCGTCTCTATCTCCGAACCGAATCAATACCAAACCCAATAACTAAATAAAAGATGGTATACCTAAGAGAGCGACAGTGGCTTCGACATCAATACCAATGGAGTTAAAGGTGGATATAACAGAGGAAAGAGAGTCATTGTGGTTAGGGATTAGAGTCTCAACATCTCCCAAGTAGCTCCCTCTGCTATCTCTCCTTCCTGTCTTTATCATCTCAATCTTTGGACCTTTCAACTAATAATTTCACCAAATATTAATTACCACAAATACAAAAAAATTCCCAACTAAAATGCATGTAAATATTTGCCTAAACGCACCATGACAATACCGTCTCTAGCAGAGAGAGCGACAATATCAGCGCAAGAAACTGTTGAAGGACACTCTTTCTCGAGTGCGTCTTTGATAATCTTAACGTACTTAAAGTTTCTCATACCGAAACTCCTCTTCGATTTCTGCTCAGATTCCACACCTCTCGCTGTCTCTAGAAGCAGCGACGCATCACACGACTACACAATAAGAAAACACACACATGAACGTTAATACTACATATAGTTTTGTCGTATTAATTTTGGTGAATTTATAGAACTATCAAAGAGATTTAATTACCTTGACGACACAGTCATGGAAGAGATTACGGAGCCAAGATACGGCTGTGTTGCCGTGTTTGTAGTAAAGCGTCTCCACTTGTTGTCTTATAATCTCTTCCGCTTTTGGACAACTCTCTCTGTAATAGTTCATCTCCAATTCCCCATTTCCTACAATGTTTATAGAATATTTACTTTATTTAGATGTGTGTTTACTAGCGAATACTAACATTTTAAAAAAATGTTGATATTTAACGGTGGAAATTGTATTAGTGAAAGAAATTCATTACTAGTCTATAGGTAAATGATAATTGGAAGCATGGTGACACATGGCATAACATGATTGCATCAGTGAAGAATGTATTTACCGATATGGAAGATGGAGAATAACTGTAATAACAGACAAAAGAAGCCGAAGAGACAAAAGTGCTTCGCATTGGCCATTGCTCTCTCTCTTCTCTCTTATCTTTTTCTACTTAATTAAATTATTGGTGTGTCTCTCTATGTATTCCAATGTAGGGTTATATAGAGTTTGAGAACCTCTCTAATCGTGTAATATATACTAATTAAGTATCTTTATTTCTTAGTAATAGTGGTTGCTGTCGCTATTAATTATTCATTTTTGCAATAATCGGGGGATTTTTTAATTATTCTAAACTCATATTAATACTCAAATTTATAACCACTAGCTAGCTATCTGAACTCAATAGTTGTTAAACTCATATTCAGTGAGACTCGATTTCAAAATTTATTCGATAATATTAGTAGAACTAGAAATTCACCCGCGGTGTACCGCGGGGCTATTTTTTTATGAAATATATTATTTTAATATTTATGCTTTTGTAAATATTATAGGATATAGATTGAGTTGCTTTGAAATTTATTAAGATTGTCGCAGTTAAATATATTTGGAATATTTTTAATAAAAAGTATTATAGTTTGTTGAATGTATAAGAATGTTATTCGTTATTATGTCTAAATATGTGTATATTGTTAGTTAAGTTTTATTTTATATCTATTAGATTTTAAATTATTTTTTTTGTCATCCGAAATTAATTAAAATTCAAAAGAGCCATTTCTGAGGAATGTTGTTTACATATGTGATATGTTGCGGTTCTGTACGAACTTTTCGTGCCAGATTATCCGCTTTTACATTAGCGCTACGAGAAATTAAAGATAAAGAAAAAGTAGAGAATTCTTCCTTGTCACTCTGAAATTATTTATATTACTAAAAACATATCTTAATTTACTATGAATATCCAACACCAAAAATTGCATATTTATTGTATTTTATAACGGGTTCCACAGATCACAACATCTCATAATTTAGAGATCTCGAAACTTTGCTAAGCGTTGCAAAAAATTTTATGGGCCCAAATATTTAGAGATCCCATACGAATAAAATCCAACCAATGTAAGAAGCCCATATTAGTAATAAAGCCCATTTGGCCGAGGAGACTAAACGATGGAGATCGTCACTGGTTTGGCACGGATAATCGCGGCGACAACAACAACAATGGCTTTCTCTCCTAATCCTCTCTCTCTAAGCGTCCTCGATCCTGCTTTCGAATCTTGGCTCCGAGATTCCAGCTACCTCGAGCTCCTCGATCACCGCACCTCTGCTGCAGCCGCCACCGCTTCCTCCTCCGCCTCCGTTTCATCCTCAGCTGCCGCAACTTCTGCGGCGTCTGACGATGAACATCCATTACCGGTGGTTTCTTCGCTTCTCTTTTGTCTCGACGCGTCACTGTCTCTTCTCTTCTTACAATTAACCCTTTCTCCAAGCTCTCCGATGATTTTTCCGGAGATACGCCACCGTGGACCACCGGTTTCTTTGGCAATTGTGACTCTTATTCGTTTCCAACGTCTTCTCAGCAAGCGAGAATTAGAGTTCATGAGTAAATCAAACGATTCGCTAGGAATTACACTACGTTATTCATCGTCTTCTTCGCTTGTGCACTGTGAGGACCCATTACTCTTAATTGGATAAAGGCTAAAGCTTTAGACATTGTTTGATACAGTTAAAAAGTATGAATCTTGAAATTGGGTTGGAATTGAAGTGTTGAATTTTGGTGTTTGTAGATATCAAATGCATTGGTGAGATTGTTAGCAAGCTTAGCCCTTTGGGTGCTATTCAAATAGTGCAGTGCCAGATGGAAATTTGATCGTCACCCTTCCATGAGGAAATTCTCGATGCAGTCTCCAACAGCTTTATTAATTTCTTGAATGTCCAGGTTTGACTCTGAGATAGCTTGATACCCAAAAGTTCTTGTCTTTTGTTTACAGTTTGAACAGCAACATCTTTAGAGACCTTGAGGAAACATGTCTGATTCCAATCCACTGGGTTCTTCACTACCAAGCGTCCTTCTTTTTTCGGAGAGGTAAGGACTTCCCAAGCTAATCTTGTTCTTCATGTAGGATTTTTATCTATATTTGAACATCAAACTCGTAAATTGTCTGTGAATAAGAGATTGGTATTGAAACAGATTTCTCTGTTGAATCTGAAACACAGTAGCTTCTTTTTTGGATTTGGTGATTTTAGTTGCTGTGAATGAGAGGTATTTATAGTGGTTTAAGAAGATAATAGGGATATGTGTGAGTGAGTAGAGAAAATCTTGTTGAGCAAGTATACAATCTTTAAGAAAATATCACAATTATGGAATAATGTAAAGGAATTAGAATTTAGGTAAGGAATATGCCAATTATCAATCGTCATTGTTACTCTCCTTATCACGAAAAATCTTACCATAAAAGATTGATCTATCCATAAGGGAAACAAAAGGCTTAAGTGAAGATTCGAGGAAGATTTGAGGAAGATATGCGGTAACAAAGTGACCCCATATAGGTTTAATGCGAGATTTTGGTAACTGAATAATTAATGCCGTTTAAAATTTTTGTTTTTGGCAAAGATCCGATTGCCACAATTTCGGGTCAATTGGGAGCAAAAAACCCACCCAACCAATGGCATTCTTTGTAAATACTTCCCAACCCCAGGATTTATTTGCTAAAAGGCATCCAAAAATGTATATATAGATAGTAGCACTAGTTAATTAATTTGGCTTTTTCACTTTTGTTCCATTATATATCAAACCGATTCAAGTATATATCTATTTCCTCTTTTATATTTTCTTCATATATTAATTAGCAATCTATTAACAATTTCCTGATCCACCATAAATGATATGTGTACAATTTGAAAAAGTTCTTAAAATAAAAGAATTATAGATTAAAAAAAAAACTAATTGCCTGCAATGATTATGAATAATACTACACGTCAACGTCTACATAACCAACTCTCTTAACTTCACCACAATGCTAATCTCTTATACTACTATTTTTGGCCTATTATCTTAAATACGAATATAATTTTAAATACGAATATAATTAAGTTAATATACTTTTAAAAATAATCTTATAATACTTTGCTGCTTCCTTCTGGTAAAGTTTTTGCGACCGCAATATATAACAGGTTCTACCAGACTTACTTCCGTTTAAGATATCGTTGCCAATTTGGAATCATAAGCTCACTTCAGAAACTTTATGTCTTTCAGTACTGTTAGAGTTGTTAAATTTTAACAAAAATTGAACAAAAGAATTAGCCCACTCATAAAAATATTTATATGCATGGCAAAAAAATTCTTGAATAAAAACCTTAAAGTTTTAAGATTATGTTTCAAAGTTTATTTCAGATAAAGTTCAAGACTCTCTCTGTACGGCTTTTTTTTTTAATACAGTATATTTAGCAATAATTTAAATATTCTGTTGGGAATTGGGGCTGGGGATCCGATCTTTGATAGAAATGTTAACTAGAGGTCTGAAAGATCCTTTACGTAGCTGTTTAACGATCATTCTTTCGTCAATTTGGTTATGCATTTTAAAATTATCGTAAAGTTTTAGTTAGTTTGGAAAGCAAAAAGGTTACATTTTTGTATGTTAGCAAAAAAGATAATCTTCTTAAGAAGAAAAATCCAAAGAAGAATTAAGATTCCTTGGTGTATATATATATATATGAATAATTGAAAGCCATTAAGTTTGACCTTTTAGGCATTTCCGTAATCGCATGCGCATATTCGCATTGGCAAAAACCACTCACTACTAATAAAATCAATCCCACTTTCTTAATTATGGCGGCTGTAAATACATGTACACTTCCTTTGCCATTAACTACCGTCCAATCCATTCACTTGCAGACATAATGCTTTGTTGCCAATTCACTTATCCTCAATATTCTTTATGTAATGATTTTTATTTTTCTTTAAGTCTACATCTAGAAGTTAATGTGGTTTATCTAGTTGCGTATATGAGTATATGATCCTCTTTCTCATCAATCACAATTAATTTACTACTATTAGATATTCAAGCTAACGTGGTTATGTGATAATAAATTAATAATAGTCAGTTTGATTTTGAGTTCGTATAAGAAGTTTTGATTAGAGAGACGATTAATTTAAATTTGTCGATTTGTCACATGTATTATATCAACAGCAAAGTCTGAATTAGTTGGGGAGATGTATGATCCAAAAAAATGATCATGACCATTGACTTATATTCTATGATACCTAAAAACGACATTACTTTCTAGGATAGTAATTTTATGTAATATTTCAAATTAGTGATGATGTCTGGGGTGAAATTAGAAAAAGAGGTTCATTTGATTTTCTATAGTATCAAATAATGAAAGTGTATAGATATTTTGGAGAACTTTCATAAGAATTCCCACAACTACAAACATATGTAACTCAAAAAAATTTAGATGAAAATCGACAAATATACTACAAGAAAAAAAAAAAAATTAAACTGGACTAAAGTATACGTAGCCAATTGGTGATTGATGGTATTCGTATTTCATAACTAAATGGTACGTAGGGGATGGAATAACTAAAACGTTTTTAATAGCCAGTTAGCCACGATTGGCTAATATATATGAATAACAACAATAGCCACTGGAGAAGAAATGGCTACGGAAATTTAGTAGTCATTAAACCCAAAAAATAAAAAAATAATTAGTAGACATTAGATGGCTACATATTATCCATTCATGACGTCATTTGTAGCCATATAATGTCACTATTTTTTTATAATTTGTAAATAAAACACAATTTTGTTATAATGAAGCTTCATTTACTTGGAATAGTGAAACGGCCTCTGAAGAAAAAATCGTAAAGCTATACTTGTGTTGTGTGAGATGGACTAACAAAAAAGAAAGAAAGAATAATACTATATTTACTTAGTGTAAAAAAATAAAATAAAAAACTATTTTATGCTAGCCCTTAAAATCTACGATGCATGTGGAATTGGATCTGGATTCTGGCTTCCAAAAATATTGACCCACCTTTTGCTTCTTCCCGCGAAATGCTGGACTCGAAAGCAAGTGTGTCGGAAATAATTCTGAATTCCTTTCGTTTCGTTCTGAAAAAATTCAATAAAATAGATGTGTTAACATGTAATGCATTATTGCTCTATAATTTCAAGTATAATATATTTCTTTTTAAGTTAGTTTATATTTTTCGGAATATGAATGTGACTTATTTGAGTTGACCTTATGAATATCTCTAAAAGGGCCTTATCCGGTACATAAATTTAATTATATCCTTATTGTATTTAATTTGGAGTGTGTCGTACACCAAGTATCTGTTAATCTGTATGGCTATATTTGTATTTATGAATTTATAATAATAATTATTTTTATTATTTTTTATTTTATAATCTTGTGATTATAGAAGTTCAAATGATCATAAGGAATTAAGGATTATCCTTTTCCACTGTTCTCACGGTTTTGAATAATTTTTTTGTTTATTTGCACAGCAATAAACTCCATTTAAAACATTGGTTTCCTTTTCATTTTTGATTATAAAAAAATGTAATTTGTTGTGTAAAATTTTAATTGAATACATGAAGAGGTTGATGAGTCCTAGAGATTTAAAAAATGTAAAGTAAATTGAAACAGAGTAAAATATATCAACATAATTGTCATATATCATCACCGTAAGGTCCCCAACAATGCGTAGATGGGCTTCAAATTACACGGATGATATGAAAACCATCTTCAAGTATAGTGTGTGACCATCCACAAGGAAAATTCAAGGACTATATCACCTCTTTATTTGTCAATCTTATTTCTCTTTGAAGATCAATTGCTATATAGTGTGAATTGAATTTAGTTCTTGTGTGAACTATTGTGTAACTTTTTGCATCTGTAACAAATCCAGATTTTCCAATAATTAACCTTAAGAAAGATCCTGGACTTCCTTCTATTTACAACTATTACTAAGAAAACTATATGTTATATTCTATCACATATTTTTTTCCTTTAGAAAGACAAATGAATATAATATAACATGCACACACAGAAAAGATATCTATATTTTATGATGAGTTCTTAGAAGCATCAGGTAAAGCAGGGGATTTGCAAATAGGGCAAGAGTTCTTCATAGACAACCATTTCTTGATGCACCTCCCATGGTAGTCATGACCACACCCTTTAACTTCCCCTAACTCTTCTTTTTCCTTGTATTCCTCCTATTTGTACCACATCACCCATAAGTTAGCCTATTTCTAACTTTATATTGCACATATAATGTTTCAGACAACTAAATCTTACCAGGCAAATAGCGCATTTTCTTTGGTCCTCTTTTTGATACGCTGGATAATATGTTGTTGCTAACAAGCAACTGGAGATTGCGCTGTCGGATAGACCAGTGTTGACACTCCCAATCCTTTCCCCAAGAGCAAGGAGTTCCTGGATGGATATATATCAGTTACAAAACTTTTGGTTTTGCCTATGTGAGGCTTCAAAACACAAGTGTTTGGCTATTAACCTCGTAGCTCATGTTATCGATGTCGAGCCTCATGTCTCTGTGGTGATCAAGCATGTTTCTAGATTCGTAGTAGTGTGGTTGGCGATCTACGACCATGAATCCCTGCTTTTACACAGCCCCCAATAACAGAAAACAGGTCAGCAGAAAATGATAAAATTGCAAATCTATGTTTGTGGAGCTGGTCCCTTCGGTTAATACTCAGATATGTATTATATCATCTCGACTTGATCTTTATATTAATGATTGATATAATTTTGACAGACTTCCACCCAAAAGAATGCAGCTGTAAGGGAAAACTATACCTCAGATGAAAACCGTTCATGGAGGGAAACTTCATCGAAAGGAGGCTGAAACCTCTCATAGGAACTCCTGCGTCTCCCTGGGCGATCACCGCTACGCCATGAAATGTGTGGTGGTGGCCTTAGATGCCTAGAAGGATAAGTCTCAGTGACCAAATGAGACCTATCTCCAGAAGAAGATGCTACATGTCCCAATCGCGAACCCTGTGAAGAAGTTCTATAGGTGGGTGTTGACCTATGATGAGAGAAGCGGCTGCTGCTTGTAGATTGTGCTGAAGTTCCAGGAAAACCGTGGGAAACTGTATGGTTTCTGTTTCCGGTGAGCCCATGGTGATAGCCGGAAGTATCAACAGATAAGCTGTTGACAACACTTCTCGCAGGAAGAAAATTATTTGTCTCTGAACTAAAGCCATTTGTATCTGCAAGGTGGGAATTAATGTGATTATAGAAACAAAAAAGATTCAGATCTCAAGACAATGTGAACTTTGCATACCTCTAGGAACTGAGGACAATCTAGCACAGTTCCAGTCTTTATTTCCGTGAGAGGTCTGACCAGCAAATTGACCTGAGCCAGAATGATCAACACTGTGGCGGTGTGTAGAATGGGAATCAAGGCTCAAGCTTCTTGGCAAATTATTTCTTCCTAAGCTGGTTTCTAAATCAAGTGTAGAACGACTACGGACATTCCTTGAAGAACTCTCTCCCCTGATCGAGAGATTATTACTACTGTAAGTTGGGTTCATAAGCCATGGCATGTAATGAGGATCATGATCATGCGTTATTGATTTTCCTAGGTGAAATTCCGAGGGGAAATGGGTGTCTGTAGGAGTTCTGTCCCTGTGATATTGGCTTGAACTACCCATTTCATAGATGGAAGAAGGACAAGGGCGTTTTCGCTTTTGTGCTCCTCTCACATTTTCCATAGATTGATCAACATAACTAGCATTGGTCCAGGCCTGGCTGTTGCAGTTCGACGAAGATGCAAATGTCAAATAATCCTCATTTGGAGCAGAGAAAGTTGGAACAGTTGAATTCACGAAAGGATCATGGGATGGCCCCGAAGCCCCTGGATTGTAGTGTGGTCTCTCCACACTATGACCTGAGGCAGTATAGGCATTTGTTCCTGGAGAAGAGTTCCAATGAGAAGACACTGGCATTCCTTCATTCAACATGTTTTCAGCTGGATATACATGCGATCTGTTCTCACTGGTCCCAGATCTTGCTGAGAAAATGTGGAGTGGACAATATTAATCAGAAATATGGAACATCTTAACCTAAAACTAAACATGTATCATCAAACCAAATTTTAAATATCAATCTCTATAGATGGAGAATGAGTTTGAAAGATTGATTTCAATCAAACACAGATTAAAGATCTATAGAAATGGAGGACTAATTACCTAGACTCGTATATGGATGTTCTGGATGTGTATGATTCCAGCCTTGATCATGTTCATCATCAAAAAATTGGGACGAACCAAGAAAATTTCGGTGCCCCATTAAACCTGCACAAAAAGTTCTCTCACCATTCAACATCCCAGGAAAATATTGGCAAGCTCAGAAATATATATTTTTGTAATTACCAACCAAACTCAGTTTACTTTCAGTCTGATAGCCAAATTTCCTAAGTAAATATATAAGAAATCAGTCCATAGTTTCCAGCTCTAGTACCATTACCTTTGTTACCCGTACCTACCGTATTATACCTCAGATCTCAAGAAAATCATAAGCAAATAAGTTTTTGTGGACTTAGGCTTTGTGCTGCAGGAAAGTTCATGATGCTTATACATGGAAAAATAAACTTTAACTAGTACAGATATATTAGTTCATAAGAAAAACTTACAGATAAGAGTTTGTCAATATCAACAGGCAAACTTCTTTTTACTTAAGCCAAAAGAAAAGAGAAACAGAAAACAAGCAAGATTGGGAAATTAAGAAGCCTTTTCATTTAAAGCATCTCTCTAGATTACACACTTTCAGAAAGTCAATAAAAGTTACAGAAGCAGTCTATGGGAACCAATTAGGAAATGGAAAATGATGGAAGAATAAGGCACAATTGGCAAATAATCGTATATTGTATCCGCATAGAAGAGTATCAGAACAAGTCCATGCAAAATAGGTAACACTTGATATCATCTTTTCAGCTTCAACAAATGCACTACTTCTTCGTTTATATTCACGAACAACAATGACTTCCAAATTCAAACAAAAGAGACTCGAGTAAAGGCCTTGTACATCTTTCACTAAACTTAAAACCATGGTTGACATGAGCAAGAAAATTACATGGAGAATCCAATAGCAGGACATAAGCTTAGAATATTTTCTGAACCAAAACCCTCAAAAGTGCACCTGCAGGCAAATAATCCTAGAAGGATATAGGTTTGGAAGTCCCAACCACAAATACACTACACTATCCAAATGAAAAAGCCGTCGTGCTTGATTGAGAAACTGATTCACCATTTCCACAGACTTTTCAAGTAGACCAACCGGAAGGTCTTAGGGCCTTGACTTCACTAATACAATGAGAACACCTAAATTTAATCGCTTCTCTTCGGATCCATAAATTGAATACACTACAGCTTCCTTAGGTAAACGGGTGTAGTCCCCAAAAGTGCTAGCCAGCCTTACTACCTCATTACTATTTATGCGCTCTTATTGTCTTCAACCCACCAGCACACCTTAATAGACTCCTGAATTCGGGACTTATGAGCCCAGGGGCTTGTAAAACAATTGTGTGAAATGGTGCTTTATTAAAATTAGCATTATGTTTCACATCATTGTGCATCCAAATCAAAGGCTTGTATGTGACAGCATGTCATTCTAGAAACCATTATAGGATAGATGTAGTCTTGTAAGGAAGATTGAAGTTCTCCACTCATGGATACCTTATACCAGACCTCAAAGCATCTTTAACTGATTAACACACACGTGATGGCAGACTAGTTGTGGTTATTTGCTTATGCCCATGGATCAGAATAAATCTTACGCCACTAAAAACTGGACCGAGTAAACTTCACAAAGCCTATACTACCATAATTTTGGTCATTGTTCATATAAGATTAGGAGTGGAACTAACCACGCTAATAAATTCTTGATGAATTAACTGAGTTCAAGTTCACTTTGCTTCCCAATCAACCAAGAAGGTCCACAACACAATCTGCATACATCAAGGATAGGCCAGCCACCGATCCTATGTTTTAAAGGCTAGCATGAGGAACTAACATTTGTTTGAAATGTGTTAATCATGCAGTTTTCGAAGAGAATGATGCTACAATCTAAAAATTCTCAAAGAGGAAGATGAATTCTGACCTGAAACTCTAGCCGTGCTAGTTCTCAAATCTCCCAAATACTTGATAAGGTTTTTCTCCAGTTTCTCAACTACCCGAGGAGGTTCGTGGTGGAGAAAGGTATGATAGAGACTTAGAAACCACCATTGCCCCTAAACCTGCAGGATACAAACCAGCTAAGCCTAGGTTATGCTAATAGACTATATCCCAAACTAGCTAAGCTTACCCGTCGTTGAAGCTAACCAACACAAAGCTTACAAAATCTCCTAATCACCGATCTGGTCTCTTCTCAGCATCGGAATCTTAAAAGCTAACAACTACGTGAAAGAAAAACAAATTTGAAGTCCGGTATCCTTATAACCGACTCCGATTTATGGACATGATCGCGATCATACACGAAGATTGCGGGAAAATATAGCAGCAAAACCGGGAAATAACCGGATTAAACCGACAAACGCAAACAATCATCATCACACAATCCCAAGAAAAAAGCAAACAACGATCGGTAACAAAAAAGTAAGAAATAACGACAAAATTGCAATCGATTTTCAGCTTTATTTACACATAAGAACACGGAATAATCAGCTCAACAAGGATCGGAGAAAGGAGAAACATTACCAAAGCGTTCCGGCGATGAGAGAAGGAGAGACCGATCGGAGGAAAGCAAAGAGACGTATGAATTCGTATAGATGACGCGACTTTTGTTTGGAAAAAAAGAGGTTTTAGAGAGAGAGAGAGAAATGTGTTTAGAAGACAAATTGAATTGCTTTTTTTTTTTTTTTGTTGGGCGATGAAGAGGATCGGTTTATTATTTAAGGAAATCAAATTAAAGCGGTTGAGTACGTTGCCGGAACATTAATCCCTTCTCTGACCAACTTCACCGGCTACCGGTAAAACCCGTTCACTGTCTTTTTTCTTCAATAATGGGCTTATATTTGGGCCTCAACTATGGAAATCCCGTGCGTATCGAAAGTGTTCGAGAATCACAGAGATCCAAGGGATGACTTTTATTTTATCCATTAATAGTCAATTTGATGGATGATGATTAAGAAAGCAATAAAAGAAGCGAATCGGAATCCACATTGTATTAATCTTTCGATCCAGTAGCCATTGGAGAATCCAGAGTATTAACGTTCCATTTTGATTTTGGCGACGATAAACAGAGTTTAGAGAAATTTGCATCGAAGAGTTTTGGATTTTGTGTAGTGGGAGAAGAGAAAACCCTAGCTAGGGAGGGAGGGACATGATCAGATGCTCAAAGTGGCTTTGTGAACAATTATGATGAACTCTTCGAATGGTATGATCTCTGCGCCTTCTTCTTCGTCTGCGAATCCTCAGTCTCCGGGAATCAAAACGTATTTCAAGACGCCTGAAGGGAAGTACAAGCTCCACTACGAGAAGACGCATCCCTCTGGGCTTCTTCACTATACTCATGGCAAAACTGTCACTCAGGTGATTCTTTGATTCGTTTTTTTTGGTGTTTATCTCTGAATTCAAGTTTAATCCAATCTGATTTCATCGCGTTTCGATTGTGAAATTTGAATCCGAATTTTGTGAAATCGGAATCGCTGTTTCCCTACCATTGCTCAATGTGAAATTGCACCTCACAAGGTTTTGTGTAAGAATATCAAATGCACATTTCATTTTCATGTTTCTGAGGATGGGATTTGGGAAATTTCGGTGTCAGGTTACTCTAGCTCACCTTAAGGATAAACCTGCTCCATCGACACCAACTGGTACCTCGTCAAGTTACACTGCTAGTAGCGGTTTCCGGTCTGCAACAGCAAGGTTGTTGGGTGGTGGGAATGGTAACCGTGCGCTTAGTTTTGTTGGAAGTAATGGAGGGACCAAAAATGTGGGTGCTAGTTCAAGAATTGGTGCCTCCTTCCCTGCTTCTAGTTCTAGTACCTCGGCTACTAATACAAATTTCGATGGGAGAGGAACTTACTTAGTCTTCAATGTGGGTGACGCTATTTTTATTAGTGACTTGAACTCACAAGACAAGGTATTCTTACCCCTTTTGTTTTCTGAAGATTTAATTTGATGTGCTGGTTTCTTGTCACACTTAAGAGAAATTCTTTGATGTAGGATCCAGTAAAGTCTATACATATCAGCAATTCGAACCCTATGTGCCACGCATTTGATCCAGATGCTAAGGATGGACATGATCTACTTATTGGGCTGAATTCTGGGGATGGTAATGTACAACTTTGAAATCATGTTTGGTACTTCTGTGCTTGATCGAACTTTGTCTTGTTATTTATTATTTTGGTGAATTGTTGTAGTCTACACCGTATCACTAAGACAGCAGTTGCAGGATGTTGGTAAGAAGCTTGTTAGTGCTCAGCATTATAACAAAGATGGTTCTGTAAATAACAGGCAAGAGTGTTTTTTTTTCTCCTTCCTCTCTGCTTTATTGTTCTAGTATTTGTTAACATTGTTTGAAATTGTATAATCAATCTTGTTGGTTCCCATTTGTTGGTGTAACAATCATCAGTATTCTCACTTGTTGTTGTCCTTTGAACTTGTGTATTTATGCCAAATGACACAAGCTTGCGCAGTTATCTTCGTTTTTGTCAGTTTACTAGGTGTATGCTCTTGGTAACTCTCCAGTTAGTCAGTCTAGGGGACCAGAAGATATCTATAATACTGTGATTACAGAATAGGATGTAGTCTCAGAGGAGAACACTTTTTCTTGGATAAGGACTTAACAGAAACATGGCTGAAATTCCTTTTCAGAAAAGAAAATTACTTTATATGTTTCGTGTCCACTTCAAGAATAAGATTAAGTTTGTTGCTTTTAACAGCCGCTGTACTAGTATCGCTTGGGTGCCTGGAGGTGATGGATCCTTTGTTGCTGCTCATGCCGATGGAAATTTGTACGTATATGAGAAGGCAAGTGCAGATATTGAAAAAGAAATTGACCTTTCATTTACCTAATTTTGTCAAATTTTTGACCAGAGTAATTATTATACTTGCAGAATAAAGAAGGTGCAACTGATTCTTCATTTTCTGCTATAAGGGATCCTACACAATTTTCAGTTGATAAAGCAAAATATAGCAAGGTACCTGAGTTTTTTGGTAGTGTTTTCATTTGATGTTGGGTCAAGGACTTTATGTGTAGCTCTGGCAAGATGAGAATACTTATTTCTTTTCTGTACACCTGCACACGAATATCTTCTCAGACATCGTGATGCTACAATTCTTGCATTCTTCTATTATTTGTTCACTCCCACAAATATTCCTGCAGAGTAATCCAGTAGCAAGATGGCATATTGGGCAAGGTGCGATTAATTGCATTGCATTTTCAAATGATGGAGCATACTTGGCAACTGTTGGAAGAGATGGTATGATGGGTTTTTCTTTCATCACCGGCTCCAATTCTTCCTCTCTATATATGTCTTTCAGTTGAGCATTAATTTTCTCCTTTTGACCATGTACAGGTTATCTTCGAATTTTTGATTTCTCAACCCAAAAGCTAGTGTGTGGTGTAAAAAGTTATTATGGTGCTCTATTGTGTTGTGCTTGGAGGTGACTGGATTTAAATCCTTTGAAAAATGATCTTCCCTGTTGCATTTGAAGGAAAATAATATTTTATGTCAACTTTTGTTCACTCAAGTTGCTTTTAGCATGCATTGTTATTGTATATTAACATTGTGATCGGCCTGACAGTATGGATGGAAAGTACCTTTTGACTGGAGGTGAAGATGACTTGGTTCAAGTGTGGAGTATGGAAGATCGAAAGGTTGTGGCGTGGGGTGAGGGACACAATTCGTGGGTAAGGTTTTCAAATTGGAGTATAGTGAATTTCGTATGTAAGACAAACACTACTTGACTAATGTGAAGGCTTTCTCATAGGTAAGTGGTGTGGCGTTTGATTCGTATTGGTCGTCACCAAATACTGAGGGGTCTGGTGAGAATGTCATGTATCGGTTTGGTTCCGTTGGTCAGGTATTCAGTTATGCTACGTCCATTCTTCCGGGTTCTCCTTTCTGTTATGTGATGCCAGCTAAACACTTTTTGCTTTAACTTTGAGAGTATGCCTTGACTTATATTCTGTTGGCTGAACAGTGTTAATACCTCTATTTCTAGTAGATAAACAGGATAAAGATTGTAGAATGATTCTAGTATATGGGAGCGATAAAGAGTGAGGGAAGTAAGATGAAATCTTTTGATGGGAATTTCTTTTGGTCATCTCGGGTGATAGCATTGTCCATATAGTGTATCATTTTGGCATTTGCCAGATTAAAGGGCATATAATCGTTAATCTGCTTTGTAGAAATTTTGTTAGAAAGTGAGCATTTCCATTGACTTGGCATGCCCTGTGAAAGTTGTGTTAATAACTTATACATTGATCTTCTGTTTCTTCTCCTATGATCATTTGTGTGATTTTGCTCGCCTTCCATGTCTTTATTCTATCTGCTTGTGCCGAACAGGACACACAGTTACTGCTATGGGACCTAGAAATGGATGAGATTGTTGTTCCCCTTCGGCGACCTCCAGGAGGATCGCCCACTTACAGCACAGGGAGTCAATCCGCTCACTGGGACAACATTGTTCCAATGGGCACTCTTCAGCCAGCGCTGTGCATGCGCGACGTCCCAAAGCTCTCACCAGTAGTGGCTCACCGTGTTCACACCGAGCCCCTCTCGGGCTTGATCTTCACGCAAGAATCATTGATAACAGCTTGCAGAGAAGGCCATTTAAAGATATGGACACGACCTGACACTCAGTCTAGCAGCTCAGAAGCAACAAATCCAACTACAAGCAAACCGTTGCTGACCAGCAAGGTCGGTAGTTCCAGTTAACTCCGTCACCATTTAAATCATATTGTTTCAGGTCTTGGTTTCGAAAGGAATCCCTCTGAATATCTCTCCTCGGAACTGAATCTGACTCTATTGATGTGTGGGAGAGGCTGAGACATTTCTGGGGATTGCTGGAGACGAAAGAGATGAAAGAGACGAAGACAGTTTTCAAATGTAATTAGAAGAAAACAGATTTTTTGGATTTAGGGTTTATATCCAACAAATACTAACCAAAAACCAATAGTCCAAGATTTTCTTGCAGTTGCAACGATTGCTATAAAAATAATTAAAATTTTCCTATTCTTTGTTTCGATTTATGGTTTTGACTTTTGAGGCACATTTTGGAATATTGGATAATCGACATTGGATTAAAGTAACTTTAGCGGTATTTATTTGTATGTATAATCCTTCCAAACATGTGTCCATCTGTAGGTTTTTATATATGTTCAGACTCTTCTTGATATTGTTATTTGTGAAAATGACCTTTGAATACTTTTAACTAAAGTGACGGAAATTAGTTGAACCATCAGCTTTCTTGCGTAAGCTCTCATTACAAATTCTTTGAGCATAAAATAGTGAGTGGAAAGTCAACTCAAACAAAAAGTGTTCACCAAATTTCAATTATGGTGTAGATTAATTGAATTTCAGACGATCTCACCAATTGACTTGTGGTTTAGTTTTTTTTTTCTCTTAAGGCTTCATCAAATCCAGTTTAATTCGGTGATGGACAACAAAGTGCCAAACATAAAACAAAGTTCTGTCTTAATCCTCTTCAGGATAACTTAAATCACATGAAACTTAGAAATTATAACTATTAATGTAGATATGCTTTTAGCTGATAATATTGTCTGACATTTTATCTGTCAAAAGAAAAAGAGAGGGAGAGCGAAGGCAAAACAATTTGGTTTCATTAACTGTTTTACCAGAGTACACAAACCTTGGCATTGGCACATATCAAAGTATTACACCACAATGAAAGCAGAAAAAACAAAATAAGATAACAGGGCATAGTTTTACAAGCAAAGTTGCCAATTTTTTGTACATACATACATAATAACACAAGCATTTTATAATTGTTGTTATTATGATTGTTGTTTTTGTGGCTTAAACTCAGACGTTGGCTGCACTTCTGAAGGATCCGAGTGACTTGGAACCTGAAGCCCTTAGGACAAATTGGTGATAAAATGCAGCTATTGCAGCTCCAATGAATGGTCCCACCCAGAATATCCACTGTTATTAAGTAGACGAAAAAAAAAAAACATTTTACTATTTTTCCACTACACAATAGTCCACTATTTGATTAATTTTAGTTAATTAAGAGATGGAAACGTACGTGGTCATCCCATGGCTTGCTCTCGTTAAAGATTACGGCAGCTCCAAAGCTCCTAGCCGGGTTGATACCGGTTCCGGTGATCGGAATTGTTGCCAAATGTACCATAAACACAGCAAACCCAATCGGAAGTGGCGCCAACACCTTTCATTTCATAATTCATAACCCAAAGTATTAATTAATGTTATCATGTAATCAACTAACGATCTTATAACTGATAAAAATAAATACTAACCGGAACGTGGGAGTCTCTAGCGTTGCGTTTGGGATCAGTGGCGGAGAAGACTGTGTAGACGAGCACGAATGTTCCGATGATCTCTGCGGCAAGTCCCGTGCCAGTGTTGTAACCGTCGGCTAGAGAATTGGCTCCTCCACCGTAACGAACGTAGTAAGAGCTTTGAAAAGCCTTCACAAACCCAACTCCACAAATAGCACCCAAACACTGAGCCACCATGTAAAGCACCGCCCTAATCAGCGACACCTTCCGTGCCAAGAACAAACCAAACGTCACCGCCGGGTTTATGTGACCACCTACATAAAGTTTTGGAGTCAAATTCAAATAAACAAGAACCCAAAGGACAGATTTGAAAAGTCAACAATTTCAAAATTCTAAACCGGGTAAAACCGGACCGGTTCGATATGATACCTGAGATACCAGCGGTGCAGTAGACAAGAATGAAGATCATGCCACCAAAAGCCCACGCGATACCGAGGATTCCGACGCCGCCACAGTCAACTCCACCGGCGGTTTTGTCAGACTGAATCTTGTAACCGATAACAGTCAAAACGGTGACGTATAAGAAGAGGAGAGTAGCTACGAACTCGGCGATGACGGCTCTGTACAAAGACCACTTCGTAAGCTCCTCCGCGTCGAAAAACGGTGTTGGTGGCGGATCCTCGTAGTCCCTCGTCTGAAACCCCTCAGGTCCTTCCACATCTTTCGCCATTTCTATACTTTTTGTTTATGAAAGTTGTGTTTTGTGGATATGTTGTGTGATTGTGAAGACTGAAGAGACATAGCAAAAGTTGTTTATATAGAGAGTATAGAGTTAGTTCCTAGTGAGTGCTCTTATTAATTTTGCTTATCCATATACGTTAATAATTGTATACGTATTCATTATTTGATTATGTTACAATAATGTTTTCCTTTTGGTAGGTTTATGGTTGTTTTTATTATTCGTTTCAATGACGATTATGATTATTTTCGTGGGAACTTGCTTTCACTAATTAATTACCTAGCTAGCTGTCTTGATGATATATAATCTAAACCAATCTAATCATTGCTTCATAATTAATACTAGAAAACTGATTTTGCTTAATATATTCCTGAAGTTTCCACTATTATTTTCTTAAAGCAGATTTTTTCATATCCATTAGTTCTTGCTTCTTACTAAATACTAGGAAAGATCAAAAAAAGTTATTAGTAAAATTAACTGACGATATATAGTTACGGACCTTACGTTTAGCTCCTGCACAAATTAAAGAGACTCTTTTCATCTCAATTAGTATTTGTCGTAGCAAAATGATTGTAAGATTAACTGATGATAGTTGATGTATAGTGTTATTGTTTTGTTGACGAAATCAGAACTCACATTTCTTTGTGGTTTCAATTAAATTTACAATTCTTTAAACTAAAGCTGAACTTATTTGAAATTCTGATTATTTAAAAGAATGATTGTGGGGCTATCAATAAGAAGAGCGACCTTTTAATTCTAAAATTATGGTAGATAATGGAGTTTAATGGTTAATTTAACTTAGCCACGCCGCCCCATACCTAAACGTTGTTTTCATTTGGACCGACCCTAATAATCTATATGCTCCTTTCTCTTGTCCTGTGTCATGAGCCTTGTCCTCCCCCTAGAATAATATAGTCTGTCACTCTTTTTACACATTAAAATATACTATTATATGAAGTATGAACCTTATCTATTTGGGCAGACTTGAAAGTTCTTTTTTGAACATTTTGGTTATAAAATGCGATAACGTTATACGTATATTTAAAACGTTGAGATAACTAGATTGATCAGTGGTAAAATTTGCGATATCTAGATTCTACCATCTTTCATTTGCTACTTTATTCTTTTATCTACAAACACTCTCTAGAAAAAAAAGGAGCTTTATTTTTTTCCCACATAGAACTTTATCTAATTAAATCCTATTTATACTATCCAATCGATGATACAAAACGATAAAAGTTTATTAACAAAAAAAAAACGATAGGTAATAACAAAATAGTTTAAAGAGGTCAGAGTTAACTGTTAAAAAAAGTTAGTAGTAATACCGTTTTAAGTTCTACTAGTTCTTTTGAATTTGATTAATAACGATTAAATCGACTTATTATGTTCATACCGTTACAAATCAAATCTATTAGGTGGATAAAAGTCTTTTAAGCAGTAGTAGCTCTAAGCATGGACATGATAAAAGAAACGGCGTCGCTTCACGGGATTTGTTTCCACTAAAGTCGAAAATATGATGAAAGTTGGGTCCACTGGACCGGGGAAACCGCCCCATATAGAATTCATAGATTAGCTCCGGCAATTGCATCGGCACCGTCCATACAGATTAAGTCCAACTCCAGTACAGCCGTCCCAACCACTCCTCTAATGCCACGTAGTTTAGACCAACAATCATTTGCTCTCACTCCTCAATTCCAATTGCATACAAAAACAAAAATTAGGATATTAAAAAGTGTACAGAGACAAGGAATGCGGTGTTCATGGCCGATGTTTTGCCACGTCACTATAACCTTATCGTTTTAGCGACATTGCTCTGCTCTTATTGGATTATAGTTCCACGTCAATTAGGTGCACTCTCTCTCTCTCTCTCCCCCCTATTTTTTTTTTCTTTCATCGTTGTCGCTTTCTTTTTTGTTAAAGAATTGTCTAAATCGATATTGGTTACGTGTGATATTATTATTCTTTGTAGAAAAATGGGTTAATTTGTTATGAACATTTTTTTGTAACAAATAAATAAATGTTCTTTCATTTCATGGTTCTTTACAATGATACTATATAGTGAATTTTATCAGTCTTTTACACACGTGTATATATGCTTGCCAACAATGAATCCACAATAACAGATCAAATTAATTACATCTGACTCATATGTAATTTTATCATGCTATGTGAGTGACAATATAGTCGATGGAGTATATATAGAGTTATAATTAATTGTTCTTGTGTCCTATGACAAATTTAACACTCAGCTTACACGAATAAAGAAAAGTGTCAAATTACATGTTTATGCGTTATTTACTTATTTTACAAAATGAGTCAAAATACCATTTCATTTGTCTTCTATACAAATATTCGTTTACCAAACTAACATGAAAACGATGCAAGAATAATCCAGAATGTGCTCGAAACGGCAGGAAACACACAACACGATCGAGACAAATACTTTACAAATGATATAATCAATATTTGTCAAAAAATTTAAAAGTACCTATGCATGTGAATACAGCTAAAAGATAAGTAAGGTATATATGTAATGTATTGTAAACACATGTATATATGGTTATCATTGTTATATATGTTTCACTTGTATAATTAATTGCTCACATTTTATATTGGTTTTTCGTTGTTTGTCACCGGTCAAATTTATGGGTGATGCCTAACAAAATTTAATGACGTGACTCTGGGGACGTTGATCTCTCAGTAGTAACAATGTAGTCATTTGGAAATGAGTTACAGTATGAGATTTATACTATTTGTATAATTTTTTCAGGAAATGTTAAATTATCTGTAGTTTTTTTTTTTGTATTTGTATTGGTTCTCACTGGTTTAGATTATCAAGTTATTACTGAGATTAAAAGACAATATTAATATTTGTTTAGAGTTCCTCTAGTTACCACAAACCAACTTCTTTAACAAAAATAAAAAAATAGGTATCACTAACCAACTTAAAAAACAGTAGAAAAAACATTATTTTTGTAACATTAAATCAAAAGTGTCAAATAAACAGTAGCACAAACAAAGAGCTCACTCTATATAAAGAACCTTTATCCTTCATATCACAACCACAAGTCCAACAACAACCCCAAAGCAAAACACTTTCTAAGAAACTCAAGAAACATCCATTAACACATATGGCGAAAGACGTGGGAGGACCTGATGGATTTCAGACGAGGGACTACGAAGATCCTCCGCCTACTCCGTTTTTCGACGCGGAGGAGCTTACCAAGTGGTCTTTGTACAGAGCAGTCATCGCCGAGTTCGTAGCTACTCTCCTCTTCTTATACGTCACCGTTTTGACTGTCATCGGTTACAAGTACAAGATTGAGTTGACTGTGGCGGCGTTGGAATTCTTGGCATCGCGTGGGCTTTTGGTGGCATGATCTTCATTCTTGTCTACTGCACCGCCGGTATCTCAGGTATCATATATCGAACCGGTCCGGTTCATAGCCGGTTTCAGAAATTTTAAATTTGTGACTTTTATTTCTCGTTTGTGTGTGACATTAACCCCAAAAACTTTATGTAGGTGGTCACATAAACCCGGCGGTGACATTCGGATTGTTCTTGGCTCGGAAGGTGTCGCTGATTAGGGCGGTGCTTTACATGGTGGCTCAGTGTTTGGGTGCTATTTGTGGAGTTGGGTTTGTGAAGGCTTTTCAAAGCTCTTACTACGTTCGTTACGGTGGAGGAGCCAACTCTCTAGCCGACGGTTACAACACAGGCACGGGACTTGCCGCAGAGATCATCGGAACATTCGTGCTCGTCTACACAGTCTTCTCCGCCACTGATCCCAAACGCAACGCTAGAGACTCCCACGTTCCGGTTAGTATTTATTTTTATCAGTTATAAGATCGTTAGTTAAATACATGATAACATTAATTAATATATACTTTGGGTTATGAATTATGAAATGAAAGGTGTTGGCGCCACTTCCGATTGGGTTTGCGGTGTTTATGGTACATTTGGCCACTATTCCGATCACCGGAACCGGTATCAACCCGGCCAGGAGTTTCGGAGCCGCCGTAATCTTTAACAAGAGCAAGCCATGGGATGACCATGTATGTTTTCTTTATTCATTAAGCTTAATCAATTTTATGTTTGATGGAAAAATAATGAAATGTTTTTTTGGTCTATATAATTACAGTGGATATTCTGGGTAGGACCATTCATTGGAGCTGCGATAGCTGCATTTTATCACCAATTTGTCCTCAGGGCCTCAGGTTCCAAGTCACTCGGTTCCTTCAGAAGTGCAGCAAACGTTTGAACTTAGCCATAAAACAAAAAAAAAGTGTGTACAATTATGTAGGAATTGGGCACATTATTTTAAAACATGCCCTCTTTTCCACTCGTATCTTTCTTTTCTTCTTCCTATTTCTGCTTATATTTGTGTGATTCCTAATCAATCAAGTGAAATGTTTTCCTCTTGGCAATGAGTTAAAGTGTATTGAAAAAAAAATTCGAGAAGAACCACTTTTCCTTGGCTTATTTTTATCTGCATCTACTCTAAACAAAGTGTATTGAATTGGGGATTAAGAATATAAAGAAGCCAATTTAAGAGAGACGAACACAATTTGGAGAATGCAGATGATTGAACAACAAGCATTGCCATTGTTCGTTCTCATTTCTAACTCCAAAACATTTCTCTATTCTAATCAACAAAAGTAGCTCCAAGAACTGGAGACGGATCACGAATCAAGTTCTTGATTATCAGCAAGTATATGATACTAAACGCAAATTCAGATTCCTAAGCCAAGTTCAAGCATAAGCATAAAATTAAAATTGAATAAAAAAGCTGCAATAACAATCCAAAACTGACTTGTTGTTCTAAACAAAAAAACAGAAACTAAAATCTCAAAAGGTAAAAGAAACAAACACAACACCATTTCCAAATTCTTCAATTCTCAGGAATCTCAACTTCACCATCTTGAATCTCCTGTTGAATATCTTTAGGATCTTTCCCATCCACAGTACAACCAACAGATACACAAGTTCCCAGAATCTCTCTCACAGTTCCACTCAATTCCTTAGCAATAGATCTAGGTCTCATGATCCTAGCAATCTCAATCACATCATCAAACGAAATATTCCCATTGTGTTTAATGTTCTTCACCTTCTTCCTATCTCTCTCCGGCTCTTTCAACGCCTTGATGACCAGTGCTGCTGCTGATGGAACCACCGTCACTTTCGCCTGACGATTCTGCACCGTTAGCTTGACGGTTACACGTAATCCTTTCCATTCCTTGGCGGTTTCTTTCGCGATATCTTCTCCGATCTTCTTTGGTGCGAGACCTAGCGGACCGATTTTGGGAGCTAGAGAACTCGCTGCTCCGACTTCTCCTCCCGTTACACGGACGTAGACGTCGACGATCTGACTCGGATCCAACTTCGGCGGCATTGTTGCTTCTGTCTCGGATTTTAGGTTTCTACGATCGAGTCCCGAAACGAGGAGGCGCTTAAAGATGAGCTTGAAGGTTTTTGAAGGAGATTGAAATTAGGGTTTACGAAAGCCGAATTTACGCATCTACCCTTACGGGCTTCTATGGGCTTCTAAGGCTTAACCCAAGCTGTACAAATTAGAGAGTACTCGGTTCTGTTCGGTTTAGTTAAATATTCTCCGGTTTGGTTGAACCGTTTTCTTTTCCTGAAGTCGTCTCTTTGGGGCAACTCGTGGATGTTGCCTCTAAAATCAGAGGAGGAGGAAGAATGGCGGGAGGATCTGAGAGAAAGACGATACTTGTGGGTTTGGTTCTAGCTCTTGTTCTTGGTATCGCTGTTTACTTGAGGCTTTGGACTATCGATTATACTCTATCTTCCGATGACACAGAACGCTTAAGGTTTGAAAAAACGATTCTAATTCTTCATTTGATTCACTTTAATCACTGTAGTTTCTGGTTTTTTGGGTAATGATTTGCTCAAAGTATTGGTTTTTATGTAAGAACATGATAAAGGGTCTCCCATTTCAGTAGCTGTTGGATCTCAACTTTTTGTGAATTGACTTTTTGTATCTCAGCTGCATTTTATGTGATTAGGGGTTTTATGGTTAGTGTTGTAGTGGTGGTTGATTTGATTAATCAAGTAAATGTTTATGGTTTGAGATTTTACTTTGGTGTAGGAGACAGTTTGATTTGGCAAATAGAGAGGCAATGGATGAATCTGCAGAATGGCGGAGAATGTTTGATAAGGAAGCTGAGAAAGCTTCTAAATGTAACACAGAACTTGCTCTGGTATTAACTATTAACTAAGCTCCTCCTTATAGAAAGGTTTCTAATTGCTTTAGAAATGTATTTCCAAAGTACTTAGTCTTCACACTGTGTAAGAGTGTCACTAGTTATATGGTTGCCCTGTGTTAATTGGTGGTCTTAACAGTAATTCTCGAAATGTACAGCCGTGTCTGCTCTACGTAGATTTTTTTTCGCATTTTGTTCATTCAAATGATTTTGGTAAATGGTTTAAGTGTATTTCTATTGATTTTGGGCATTGTCTTGTTCTGGTAGATCAAACAGTCATCTGGGAATGGAAACACCTTCAATCAAAAGCTGGAGTCATTACAAAAGGTGACATTCCCACTCAAAAATTCAAATTTCTTTGGTATTGGCTTATGGTGGATGATCATGGCTCATTAGTTCACTGTCTCTTGGGTAGGAAAATGCGGCATTGCTCATTCGAATAGAGACATTAAAACAAGAGCTTGAAGCTTCACGGTTAAAGTGCCACTCACGACAGTCACCCCGTTAGAATACTGTTCTTGATATGTTGTCAGTGATAGATTTAGTCCTTTACTGGTAAGAATATCCCGGATTGTCATATACATTATATAGGCTCTATCATGGAAATAGCTTTTCAGAAACACCAACCACACAATCTTGTATTGATAAATCAATTTAGAATTCAGTTCTCAGACCCTCTCACTGAATTCATGTAGTTTTTTTCTGAGTATTAGATGGTGATTTGTTATCTCCAAATATATCTTGATTATAAATACGAGATAGGTGAAAAACTGCATTGATTAGTTCTTGAAGGAAGTTTGCACTTGTACCTCATAGTGATTAGCCTCGCTTGTGTTGTTGTTGCCGCTTAGGTTCTGTGAGAGCACAGCGGTACCAGTCCGGTTTTATGGTATTTAGAAGTAAAACAGGAAACCATACAAAAGTAAGCAATATGAATATCGCCAAGTATGACTTTTTAAGCTACTAATTTCTCCTTGTGATCGTCTTATTGCGGATGGATTGCATTAGCACTTTCGGTTTCCTTCATCGAAAAGTGCTAATGGAATCCATAGATGAAAACTCTCGAAAAGTGCTCATAGTAATTCAACAAATTTAAAAATTGATTTCGTTATCATATTTCTGCCAGTTGCATAACGTTAACGTTTCATAATATTTTCGTGAATTGGTCTAACTCAATTCCATCACACCCATCAATTTCATTTCTTTCTTCTTGGGTTACTGATTGATTTCGTCACATATCTAACTTTCCTGTTGATTACTCAACGTCGGACTCCAGACACTATGGAGAAGTTTAAGTTTCACACTTTCACCCAACTCAAAACGAAAAACACACAAAATTAGCAAATCATATCTCTCCATATTATTATGCATCATCCTTATCTAACTTGAAATCTACAATAAGTTACGTTTCAACATCATCTATTCACCCAAACCCAACCGCTCACTCCTTTTCTCCTCCTAACTTATATTGCCTCAAGATTCCACATAAATCACTATTTTGTTGATATAAACATGATGACACATGGAAATGTGATATGACTGCGCTTAACCGATTACCGATAAGATCAACTCTCAGAGTCAAGTCACGAAAGCAAACTGTTTTCTTGTACTATGATTTTCCGATGTAATATATCTGTTTCAAAACATTTGCTAATCAAGCGATAAATTATAATACACCACCCTTTATTTACATTATACTAGGAAGATGGATTTCTCTGAACTTGTGCTATATTTAGTGGGTGGCTAAGGACCAGAAGTTGAGAATAAAGGAGGGAGACACAGCAAACCAGCTGATGAAGGCCATTGCTGTGGCGGTCTCAAACCTTGTGCAGTGATTCACGTTACATTGTCCAAGGTCGTTGATGAGTACAGTTATGCCAGCAGACGCAGATGCAGCTGCAAACGTAAGGGTCGATGTGACCTGCAACAATGGGAGTTTAAAACAAGTCACTCACGATGCCTCTAGTAACTAATTAAAACATCAAGAGACAATAGCAACAATTAAACTAAGAAAAGGGAGAGATAGAGAGAGAGATTGAATTTGTCCTTACACCATCTCCAATTGTGAAACACTGAACAACAGAGTGATTCCGAAGGCTTCTTCTCACCAGAAGAGCATAAGCATCGACAAGAAATAAAGACAAGCTCCACATGCTTTGCAGGCTAACCGCAAGAACCAAGCAACTGTCACAGGATAAGAGTTATATGTCTTGTCAGATTCAAATTGTCTTATAAACCCAATTGTTCAGCTAAATCACAATTCTGATTCCAAAGAATGTTTTTTTTCATGCTTTGCAAATAAAAATTTGGGTTTTGATTCAAATTTTCTGTTTTTGCGTGAGCCCTTAATTCGTTCTACATGCATATGAACTCAAAACCCTAATTTCACGCCATTATCAGACGAATTAGACGAGCAAAATTCTCATTACACGATATCGAATTTCCAAAAACCCTAAAGTTTACAGAATCTAAAATCATCGAATTTCTAAAAACCTAGGTGTAGAGTTTCGATTACCAGAATGCGGTGGCGGAGCGGAAGTCGGAGGTGGTGACCATGACGGAGACGGAGATAAGAGCTGGGACGAACTGAGAGAGACGGAGGATGAGACCACCGGTGGTTCCGGGCATGCCTTGCACATCCTTCATCCTCACTGGTGGTCTATCGATCGCTCCGGTTGTCGGAGCCACCGGAAGCGCATCCACCGGGTGAATCACCGGCCGGCTCACGTTCATCATCAGCTAAAACGCCTCGAACAGTTCCCACCAAAGAAACTGCAACTGAAAAAGACGTTTTGACCTTTGACAAATTAAATAAAAATGTGATGTGTTTTGATAAAATTGACCCAAAACTCTTAAACTTTAATATTTCTGACAAAGCATAATACACTTTAGTATCAAATTTAACATTCTATTGAACAGAGAAACTGAGTAACCGACGTTGTTAAAAAATTATAAAAACAGTATGTTAACTTAACATCGACAAAAACATAGTATTACTGTCGGTTTTTATTGATTTTTTTTAACGACTGTTTGAAAGATGTTGACTTATTAAGTATATGGTTGACTTATTAAGGTAGATCTAAAAAATGTTATTTTACCAGAAAATACGCAGTTATGAGTTTTTTTAATATGATATAGATTTGTTATTTTGCTCATAACATGTTATTTTGCTAACTATCAGTTATTTTAAAAAATCACACAATTTTACTTGAATATAAACATATATTAACGAAAATACCTTTCTCTTTTGTTTACATTTTACAACCATAGTTATTTTTACTTATTATCATGCAAATTGGAATATCTATCTATATAATAGAGCCCTGTGTAATATTATTTTAGACAGTTTATATTTAAGTTAGTATTAAATGACAAAAAAACACACTCAAAGTTTATTTGAACAATTCAAATAAAATGAAAATTTTATTTATCATCTGAATTATAGAAAAGCTGGTTGCTTTATTAGATTTCCTTTTTGATAAAGCTATTTTAGATTTCGTGTTGTTTTCGTTTGTTTTTTCTTGTTAAGAGACAATCTCTGGCATTGAGTATTGACAATACATAATCTTACACATATATAATATATCTTTTTGTCTGTATTGTTTTTCTGTGAAGAGATATAGATACGAAGGTGTGAAACTTGTCTTGGTTACAATAGTAGATAGAGAGAGTTGCGACACTTACATCAACTAAAAACATTTAGCTTCGAGTTAAAAAGACATTACTAATAATTTACATAAAAAGAATTTCCTCCGTAGTGGAAATTTTACCCAACTAATCAAAATCTATTCCTTCCTTTTTTAGTAAGATTAAAATCATGAAATCTTCGAAAGTTTCAAATCTATATTATAAAATATTTTAAATAGTTATATTGATAATCTTGATCTTAATCACTCTTCAGACGAGTAACCAATCCGTTCCATCTCCCAACAAAGCTTAGTTGCAACACTTTCATGGCAAGGTGCATATTCCTACAAAAACACCAACAACAAATAATTAAGAGATTATGAAGAAACAAATGATCCATCTTCATTTTTTCTTTAATTTACCTCTAGCTTTTTCACCAGCTCTTTAGCAGTAGGTGAAGAGACGATGATCTCACGAGCATTCGGGCTGATGAATCCTTCTTCGACAGCTTTGTCAATGAATGAGAGCAGAGAGTTGTAGTATCCATCAACATTGAGCAAACCCACCTACAGAAAATGATTGATATGTTGTTATTTAAGTTGAATCTTTTTGATTAAAATGTGAGAAAAGGGTTTATTTTTTACCGGCTTGTCATGTATACCAAGCTGAGCCCAAGTTATGACTTCAAGCAATTCTTCAAGTGTTCCATAACCACCTACAATTTTCATACAAAATTTTTAGATTTGATTAGTTACAAGATAAAAAAAGAGGAGATAAATTAGTTACTATGATATATGGTCAAGTCAACAAGTTTGTTATGTACAAGACAAACCAAATAATAGAGTCTTCTCGTCTCTGTTACAAGTTTGTACAATGGCATGAATATGATTAGAAAAGCAAGATCTTTGAAAGAACTTGACTTTCCATAATGATTTCAGATTCAGTGTGGGCAAAAATATGCTATTTATGGGACTGTTTCAGGTTTTTGTATCTTACCTTGAAATAGGTAAGAAGAAAACTTTGGTCACACAAGCTATATGGATAGTAAGTACCTCCTAAGTTAAAAGCAGAGCAATAAACAGAGTAAAGAGAAGAGAAACAAAAAAAATGTCTAATTTTAAGTGCCAGATGTTGATGGGTCAAGGTCCTTTATCTTAGACTGTAGAGACTTTTTATTAATTTTAAAATTTTTCCATACCAAAAAAAATAGAGAAAACTTTTCAGTGTAGCTTTCACACTACAGCTTGACCAAGACAACATGTTTTTAGTTTTACCAAATTGTTTTCTTCTCTCTTTGGCAAAATCAGTCAAACTTTTTAAAATCTTTTCATGAACAAATTCCTATTTTAAACTTTTTATTTCCCATAAATTTATTTAAAAGGCTAAAAAATGCCTAAACTGGTGTTCTTGAGGCTCATGTGTCACTAGAGTTTTGACCAATTTTTCTTTATCATCATTACTTGGTTTGAAAGAAAAGCAAAAATTTTAGGTTTAAAATATATAAAAAAATGATGATAATTTTGAGTGGAGGGGGTTTAAAAACAAAACCTGGTAAGGCAATAAAAGCATCAGAGTGCTTAGCCATCTCAGCTTTCCTTTGGTGCATATCTGCAACTGCTCTTACTTCTCCTACTGTTTCACCAGTCAACTGCAAACAAAGAGCACATCCACCAATTCTTTTAAAAGAAAAACTATATAAAAGGAAGTAATAATTAAAAGTAGTTAAAGAGAAAAAGCAGGTTTGGACTCTTCTACAGGCAAAAGCAATGATGGCATTGCAAGTAATCGTAATATTGGCTTTTTTTGAATCTCTTACATTCATTTTTTTTACAGAACCCTAATCTAGTTCACCTCTTTTCATCATTTTTTCACATACCTTTTGTTTAAAATAACATAAACAAAGAAGATATTTTTATTTTAGGGTACCTAATTGAAATGAAGAGGAGGCAGAAAAGAGAAACTACTCATAATCATTATTAGACTTAACAAAGGGTAATAAATAGAGAGAAGAGTAAAACTGAAGCAAAGACTGGAGATTAAATGGGTTTGAATGGGGATTTGGAGAACTTACAGATATATTAATAAACAAATAATAATGTTTTAGTATTAAAAATTGGGAAATCTTGAAATTTTTACCTCTCTAGGCATGAGGGTCTTGGGAATGATTCTGTAGAGTGACAACAAGATGACAAAAAAGGAGGTTTATTAGAAGTTATTAGACAATTGTGTTCCATCACAAACTCAAAATACAGTTTTCTTTTGTATGATCTCAATAAAGATTCACAAAGTTGTTTTAACAGAAGAGATTAAAGAGAGAAAGAGTTTTAAGTGATTTGACTATAATAAAGTTACCCAATAACATGACGACCACCATCATGAACAGCTTGTGAAACCAAACCCATCAATCCTATGCTCCCACCTCCATAGACTAGATCAATATTCCTTGAAACCTGCAAAACAAAATCAAGAGAAAACAGAGTTACACATGAAGCCTAGATTTGGTAAAAAAACAGTCGGAAGCTTTGAGTTCTACATGAAGCATAGATTCAAACCCGTTTACCAAAACGGAAACATATCTCACTTGGCACGTTTCATAGAAGAAAGAAAAATGCTCTGCATTTGCAAAAGTTACACATCTTGTGGACATGTTTATCAAAAAATTACACTTTTGCAGACCATAATGAAAGAAAGAAGCACATCATCATCTTATCTCAAAACCCACCAGCAGAATCAAAGACAAAACCGCGTTGAAAGTCATGTATGTGTTACCAGTTCGTTGCCGAGATCAACAGCAGCATCTTGGTAACTACTCTTCTTGCCTTGGCTGCTTCCACAGAAGACACAGATTCTTCTGAACTTTGACTTTTGCATCGTTTCACCTTTGATCTCCATTTGATTCTAAACTTTGGTTGGAAAGAGAAAAAGGTAAACAGTTTAAGGTTTCTTTGAGCACAAGAATCTAATTTCTTAAAACTGTTTTACGAGTTGTCAAACTAACCTAATTGATATCTGAAAACTCTTCTTTTTTCGTTGTTGTTATAGTTTATCTTTTTACCACTAATGGGTTTGGCTCATGGATGGTTGTTATATAGTGCGTCTTCTCGTCATGCTCGTCATCGATTGATTTATATTTTAATAAATTACTTTACTTTTTATTTGGCATTTTCAAAAGTACGACATTTATTAAGAAAAATTAATGATTAGTAAAGTTTAGAAATAGAAAATGTATACCTAAATTTTATTAAGGTATATTTTGGAAAAGAAAAATTTGGACTAAAACACTTCTTTTTTTTTTTTTTTTATATACGTGGACTAAAACACTTCTAAGTCGAAAATATCGTACCTTTAGAAATATTCCTTTGGTATTTCGTATTTTGTTTATACACCATACTATTAATCAAATTTCTTTTTATTCGTTGTTTGTTGTGGTCTTCACACGTGAGAGATTTAAGCACGCGGGTCTTTCCCCAACCGCATACAGCTCATCTTGGCACGCGTGACCAAATGCTTCCTTGTGTTAGTTTTGTTTTTCTCCTCTTATTATTTTTTTTTCTTTTGTTTCAAAACAGTAGCTACTACCAAAAATCTTCGTTGTGACGATCGTTGGAAAAAAAAACCTTTGGTTATGGACCTTATGGTTAGGCAAGCTCATGTACTTGTTGACATGAAATACTTGAACTCACGAACCCCGACTATTTTTGAAGGAGAAACAAGAATCCGTATAATCCTTTATTACAAAAAAAAATTATATATATAATCCGTAAAAAAGTTGTGACGGATGATTATTTAGTTCTAAGATCATAAGAGAAAATACCATTTGAGGATTCTTTGACGTTTATATTTGAGGATTAGATAGAGATATCCTCGTATTTCAAAACAAATAATAACTAACTCATATGTTGGTTCAAACGTAAACTTGTGACAAAACCATGTTCGACTTTAGCAAAGAACAATCACTTTATTGACATCAACAAAAACAAAATTCTTTCGGAATCAATGAAGTGATAACCGATTCTAAAGTTTTAATTTTTCTATGTTACCTCGAGGTGGAAGTATCATGAACATGTTCTTCTAGCTAATTATTTAAATCTTGGTCTTCTAATTTGAATGTTGAAGCTTAATTTTGATCTGGTCATCAGATGAGAGAAACATTCGCATGTACACTGTTATGATTTTAATTAATGTTCCAAGA